GGCTGGGGCAGCCCCACGCCCCCCATGTGACATCCCATTGCAGTTCCTGGTGTGTTGGCGGCTCTCACTTACGGTGCTGGGGGAAGCTGCCTGGCTATGCCTCCTTTGCTCAGCACCCTGCCATGTGAGCTGCAGTAGCCTTGCCAGGACTCACCACCCCACTAGGAAAGTGACTGTAGGATCTCCCATATACAGATAGGCCTTGCTCAGTGCCTGTCAGCAGGGCCTCGCCCTCCTGTCCATGGCTCCCCTGCCCATGCCTGGGAAGGGTCTGATCCCAGTAGGTGCTGGCTCCAGGAGCCTCTCTGTAAAGATGCTAGATCAGGGGTGGCCAACCTGAGCCTTAGGAGGAGCCAGAATTTACCAATGAACATTGCCAAAGGGCCACAGTAATATGTCAGCAGCCTCCCATCCGCTACCCCCCCTCCAGCCTCCAGCCCACCAGCAGCCCCGCCCCCTCCCTCCCTAGGCCTCCCGCCCCCCGCAATTAGCTGTTTTGCAATGTGCAGGAGGCTCTGGTGGGGAGGAGCGAGGGCATGGCAGGCTCAGGGGAAGGGGCAGGGGCCTTGGGGGAAGGGGTGGAGTGGTGGCAGGACCTGGGGCAGAACAGGGGGTTGAGCAGTGAGCACCCCACAGCACATTGGAAAGTTAGCATCTGTAGCTCCAGCCTCGGAGTCAGCGTCTAGGCAAGGAGCCGCATATTAACCTCTGAAGAGCCTCATTTGGCTCTGGAGCCACAGGTTGGCCACCTCTGTGCTAGATTGCCAATATCATCCCCAACTCTCCTCTTCCGCTGGCCACCCCCATTCCCATCTCTCCCTCTTGCTGCCCCTAGAAGCTGGACAAAACACACAAGCTGGAGGCTTGTTCTTCCCATATAGTACAAGGAGCAGGGCTCGGTCGGCCCGGTCATCTTCCCCAGACATCCAGGAAGCCAGATCCACCCCGATACCCTAGCAGGGATGAACCCATCCTGTAAAGACACTAAGGAGCGGCCTTCACTGGTTCCCCCATTTTCCTGACCACAGTGCCGTCTCTTCGGCCCGGGACATCCAGGCCCCCAATGGCTTGGTGTTCATTCACATACACACATGGGAAGTCCCAGCTATGCTCGTCCTGGCCTAGCAATTCAATGGCCTCTCTGTGACAGCAGCTGGATCGCTAGGTGCAGTGAACAGCAGTGCTGGGAGGTTTGATGGCAGCAGCCCCAACACAGATGCTGCAAGAGGAGATGATGCACATAGGATTGGGAGGAAGGAGAGATCCAAGGGATGAGGGCACAGGAGCAGAACACTGGAAAAGGCACAGAGGAGACACACACAAGCCCACATGCTGCTCAGTGTACATGGAAGTAGAACAGCAATGGAGAGACAGGCCCACAGGGAGATACAGGCATACAGGGAGACACACAGTGAGACACACACAGGCACACAGGAGAAAAATATAAAGACACCGACATGCAGGGAAATACACACAGAGACACATGGGGTACGCACATACACACAGACCCACATGCAGAGACACAAAACAAAAGCATACAAAACCCTCAAAGAAACACACAGAATCAGACACAGATATCTACTGACACACTCGGAGACAGAGCAACACACACCTAAATCTTCTAGGCAGTGGAATCCACACACAGTCTCTCTCACACACCTAGATACGCTCACAGATAGATACACAGATCTAGACAAAGTGTCACAGACAGTGACACACACACATAGACCTAGAGGCACTGACCCACTGAGTGACACACACAAAGATCCAGATGCACCAGTACACTCGTAGACAGCATAAGACAGGCAGATCTAGATACACTGATTCACTCACAAGCAGACTGACACACACAGAGATCCAGACACACCGATACACTCACAGACAGAGTGACACACACACAGATAAAGAAAGAGACTGAAATAGCTGGAGAGGTAAAGTCAGGTTAAAAACAAAGAGAGAGAGAAAGTGTGTGATTGATAGCTGAAGGTGTGAACAATTCAGAGGTATTTTGTCAACCCCAGCGCATCGACGAAGCTGCAAAGCTATCTGGGAAATGGTTAGCACCGGCGGAGCTCACAGGACAGCAAGAGAGAGAGCGAGAGAGAGAGAGACAAGGGAAGAGCAGCAACTTCCACCACAGGGCCTGGCCTGCCTCCTGAGGGAAGGGAAAATGGGAAGAAAGCGTGAGGGGAGAGAAGGAGACACAGAGAGAGATTAGTAAACGAAAAGCAACCACCACACGGACAGGACTAGGGACTAGGCACTGGACTGGTGCCACCAGTGCTGACAGGGGGGACAGGGCTGAGCAGCAGCAGCAGCAGCAGGGCTGGAAGGAAGAAGCAGAGAAAAGGGAAAGGAGGAGACATTACAATGTGATACACCACATGGCCACTGTGAACAGGAGTGCTGGGATGGGGGTAATGGGAGACAGAGAGAGAAAGAGAGACAGGGCCTTCCATGGACCCACAAGCCTCAGGAGCCCTTAGTACCCCTCCCTCACACCACACCGGCCTCCACAAGCTACATCCCCCTATATCCCACTGAGACTGGAGGGGTGGGGGAGCTTGTGGGGGGAGCAATAGATGGGCTGGGAGGATGTAGAGGAACAGGGAGGAAGGTGGAGTGTGAGGGGGAACAGGAGATAAGAGTGGGGGGAACAGGGAGAGAGGTGAGGGTGTGGGGGGAGCAGGAGCTGGGGGCTGGAAGGAAGTGGGGGGAACATGGAGCCTATCATTGTCATCAATTCCAAGGCCAGAAGAGACCAGTGTGATCACAGAACTGCCCCAAAATAATTCCAAGAGCAGAGCTTTTAGAAAAACATCCAATCTTGTTTTAAAAATTGTCAGTGCTGGAGAATCCACCATGACCCTGGGTAAATTGTTCCAATGGTTAATTACCCTCACAGTTAAATATTTATGCCTTAGTTCCAGTCTCAATTTGTCTAGCTTCAATTTCCAGCCATTGGATCGTGTTCTACCTTCTCTGCTAGACTGGAGAGCCCATTATTAAATATTTGTTCCCCATATAGGTACTTATAGACTGTGATCAAATCACCCCTTACCCTTCTCTTTGTTAAGCTAAATAGACCTTATAGTGCTTGAGTGTAGCACTATAAGGCACAGTTTCTAATCCTTTAATCATTCTCGTAGCTCTTCTCTGAACCCTCTCTAATTTATCAACATCCTTCTTGAATTGTTGCCACCAGAACTGGACACAGCATTCCAGCAGCAGCCACGCCAGTGCCAAAGGTAGAGGTCAAATAACTTCTCTGCTCCTACTTAAGATTCCCCTGTTTATGCATCCAAGGATTACATAAACCCTTCTGGGCACAGCATCGCACTGGGAGCTCATGTTCAGCTGATTATCCACCATGACCCAAAATCTTTTTGAGAGTCAGCTTCCCAGGATAGAGTCCCGCAGCCTGTAAGCATGGCCTACGTCCTTTGTTCCTAGCTGTACACATTTACATTACATAGTAAAACGCATATTGTTTGCTTGTTATTTACAATTACATTTTGAGACCTATCAGTGAGCCATCTTTTAATCCATTGAATATATGCCATGTTAATTTCATATAATTCTAGTTTTTTAATCTGTCATGTGGTACCAAATCAAATGCCTTACAGAATTCTAAGTCTATTACATCAACATTATTACCTTTATCAACCCAACTTGTAATCTCATAAAAAAAAAAGATATCAAGTTAGTTTGACAGGCTATATTTTCCATCAACCCGTGTTGACTGGCATTAATTATATTACCCCCTTTTAGTTCTTTATTAATCTAGTCCTGTATGAGCCGCTCCATTATCTTACTCAGGATCGATGTCATGCTGATGGGGTATGGGGAGAACAGGGGTTAGGAGGGCGTGGAGGGGGGGAGCATGGAGGGTGGGTGAAATGGGGTCACTAGGAAGATGTGGGGGAAACAGGCTGGGAAATGGAGGCCCAAGAGGCTGAGAATGGCAGGCGGTGCCTGGGCCTATCAGAGGGGGAATATGGAGAGGCAGTGAGGGGAAGGGAAGGAGTGGGTGATGAGCTCACTCATTGCAGAGAAAGAGGAGGTTGCAGGACATGGACAGTTTGATCACCTCCCTAAGAAATCCAGCTCCCGAGGGACCCCTATCACATCCCCACACTGCAAAGGGGAGGTGAGACTGGCCCCGTCTGGTCAGGGTTCCAGGATGGCTAGACAGGGCCCACCTACCTCTCCCCAAAGTCCCCTCTTGCAGCTCTTTGTTTTCATGAATGACAGGGTCTCCGTAAGGACCAGGCTGATTCTTCCTAACAGGGACAGTGCCTTATTCCATCTGGACCTGACAGTGCAGCCTTTCCCCGTCGCACACAATTCCAGGAGCATGCCCCCTGCTTGCTAACTCCCACTGCAAAGCCAGGGCAACTGCCTGTGGCTAGAGGAGCCTGCAGCAAAGGCCCAGGGCCAGCAGAATGTGGTCGAGGTGTGTGTGTGTCTCAGAAGTGAGCCCCCTTTTCTAGGCATGGGCACCCCAAATTCACTGGCCCTTGCTGCTTAACAGCACTGAGAACTGGCCACTGAGGACGATCTGGGCAATAGAGTCGGGCACTGAATGGACCTCGTCATCTGTGATGAGATGTTGAGCTTCCAGGGTAGGCTGCTTAGGGTCAGGGCAAATCCTTGCTTTGAATAATGGGCAGGGGGCCTCTGCTGGAGTTGCCCTTCTCCACCCGTCTTGTCTCAGGCTGGATGACTGAAAGCACCATCCCAAGGACCAAGCTGTTGTGCACCAAGTGGAAATCAAGTCCAGCAAAAGTCTTCCATTAAAGGCAATAGTTTAAGGCCAGGAGCAGGGTCTGCTACAGTGCTGAAGAGAACCTAAATACAACCACAGGCCTGGTCAGGGTAAGAGGGGAATTTTCTGTGGCGTTTAAACACACATCCACACACATCCACCAGTGGATCCTTCTGGGGCAAGAGGGGGACTGTTCCTGGGGTTACACACACACAAACACACACACACACTCCTTCCTGGGATGAGGGGAACTGTCCCCAGGTTTGTTCACTGCAGTTTTCCCACGTATGCCTCCCCACTGACCCATCTCTGTCTGCTGGGGAAGACGAGGTATGTGTGGGCAACTTTTCCTTAAATTAATCCATAAACAGATTCACAAGTCCTCAGGTTGTGGAGAAGGGACTCGCCTCCCTAGCACTACAGGGGGTGCTCTCACCAGGTCAGAAGGAGGGTGCGGAGGGGGTTGGGGGAGGGCAGGCTATTCTCCTAGGACCAAGGTGGAAGGTACAGAATGGTATCAGCAGGGGGCGCTCTCTCCAGATTGGAGCATGCTGAGCGCCCAGTGGGAGATCAGCTCCTAGGTCAGTGTGCACAGAATGGACATGTGCCAGCAGGGGATGCTCTCTCTGGGCTGCGGCGATCTCGGCGGGACATGCTCAGCCCACCCCCGCTAACAGCGTCCGATAGGGACAGACTGTGCAATTAGATGATCAAATTGGAAGTGCTAAAATATGTAGTGAAATATAACCACAGCGAGGTATAAATAGTGTGCGGGTGAGAACGGTGCCAGCTAATTAACACACTGATCATGTGGAACCGGCTCCTTCCTTCTTCACACCTCCTCGCAGCTAGAGATGGAATTTAACACGCACTTGGAGCTCCTCAAGGCCTCTGCCTCCAGTCAGCCAGGCCCCCTCCCCTCCTGATCCCAGCAGGGGAATGAGATGGCACAAAACCACACAAGGGGGCGGGAGGGTCGTGGCTGTCACATCACTCCCCTCCCCCTGCGAGGACAGCAGGAAGCTAGCAGGGGAAGCAGTCCCTGCTGGGGAGCAGCAGAAAGGCAAAAGGATGCTGGCAGATTTGCTGGCCACGTGGCTTAGGCAATGGAAAGATCAGGGTATAATGTTCTGGGGGGTGTCTCCCCCCAGTTTCCTGACCATGACTTTGGAACAACCCAAAGCGTGACTCCACCCCCAGACTCTCTGCTGAGCCCTGTGCCTCCCAGGGCAGGACTCAAGGAGTTTAGGCAGGGCTGTGCGGATGCCCCTGCAGTGTAGGCACGATCCATAAAACTCACAGGGTATATCTACACTGCAGCACGCGTAGACACAGCAGAGCTAGCTGTGATCTAACCAGCTGGGCTCCAATAGCAATGAAGCCACAGCAGCATGGGCTGGCCACCTGAAGGCCAGCCAGTGTGGGTACGTACTCAGGCGGCTAGCCAGTGCTGCAGTCCATGCTGCTGCGGCTTCAATGCCATGCGTACCGAGCTAGCTAGATCAGAGTTAGCGCGATTATGTCTACACAAGTGGTAATCAGTGCCTGATGACAGTGTAAACATAGCTATGGTATGAAAGCTCTCCACACAGACCTAAGGCCTGCTTCCCATCCTTCCCTGGGGTGAATCTGGAGTGACTCCGGAACAGTCTGGGGGCTGCATTGGTTAAGAGTGAGAAGAAACTCAGCCCCCTGGAGTTCACTGCCCTGAAACACCCAGTCACCCCACCATTGACTCATGGCTGCCAAGGTGCTTGCACATCTGCCCACATGGGATGCCTTGCACTGATGTGAGGGGAGATGGGGCAGTGCCCCACCACCTCAGAAGCTGGGCCTTGGCGGGGGGAGGGAGAACCAGGAGGGAGTCAGGAGTGAGAGAGGTTGTAGGGAGAGCCTGGAGCATTACTGGGGATTGGAGAGGGCTTGGAGCAACCTGAGGAAAGGGGTGATGGGGAAGTGGGAGCCTGGAGTCTCCCAGGCTCCCCCCAATCTGCCCTCCATTTTGTCCCATTGCAGCCCTGGCCCCCTCCTCTCTTGGGTGTCTAAACTGCCCAGGAGCCAGCTGAGGGGCCCAGGAGAGGAGAGGCTGCCAGAAGCCAGGGAGTGGCAGTCAGGAGCAGTGAAAGCAGCTGCCTGCCAGCGGCCCATGTGGCTGGCAGCAAGAGGAAGGGAAACCTTAGCCCCAGAGCTGCTAGGAAATATCCTGGCATCCCTGTAGCCAGAAAGAAACCCTGGGATCCTGGGAAACAAAGGTACTTCTCATATCACAGCTCAGCAGCCAGCATGGTGGCCCAGGGGCATGTGCCACCATAGGTGGTGTATTTGGCAACAAACAATGGGGTGGCTGTCACCTCCCTGGGTCTAATGTGCAAATACCAGTGACTGGGTCGAGTCTCTTGGGAGAATAGCATGAGAGCAGTAGATTCCCTCTCCACTGACTCTTCCCTCCCCTCCCTGCAGTTCACTGTATCCCCCTGCCCCAAGCCAGCCAACACTGCAGAGTTAAGTTAAATGCATGGAGTGGAATGTTGGCCCCACTGAAGTCAATGGCAAAGTTCCCCTTAACTTATGGGGCTGGGATTCCAATCACAGAGGTCTTGGTTCTCTGGGATGTGGTGTACAGGGGATTGAATGAAGCCAGGAACTTCCTGGCAGGAGGTCATTCTCCAGCTCTCTGCTGAAGCACACAGCACCTCTGAGTGACCACAACCAATACCGCCTGATAATGCACCAAGGAATTGAAACTGGGGGACTTGCCATGGCCTTGACTACTGAGCCCAGTGGACCACAAATTGCCCTGAGGTCCTCCTCTCGTCCCTCTCCATTCTATTGGTCTTGTTCCCCTCTGTCCCCTGGATCTTTTCAACTCCTCTCCCTTCATGTCTTCGCTTCCCATCGTCCTTAGCTAAGCAGGGTGAGGATGCTCAAAGGCGGGAATCTGTGTGGCCACCACCCTGCTCCCTGACACCCATCAGAAGAGAGGGGAGGGGATGAGACATGGAGGTGAAGGGAGCAGGGGAGGTGGCAGAAGGGAAGGGAGGAAGGAGGATGAGGACAATTCATTTCTGCCTGAGGAAGGCGTGATTCCCAAGCCCCAGCGCTCTCCCAACAGGGACGCAAACACCAGGATTAGGTACTAGGGAAAGAGGAGGGAGCCTGCCACACGGCTTTGAAACAGCACTGTGCCCAACACCCAAGCTGCTTGGCGTTCCCCCCCATCCTGCTGCGCCAACCTTCCACTCTCACTGGCAGTGGGAGCTGCCACCAGCCTCCTCCGACCCTCAGCGGGGCCTCTCTTCTCCTGCTGCTGAAGCGCTCTCTCCCTTACTCATACCTCTTGTCCCCCTGAGAGTTCTGCGCCTGCTGGTTCCCAGCGGTTTGCAGATCGGGTATATTGGCAAAGTCGTCCTGTTCCGAGAGTCCCAGAACCAGGGATAACACCACCATCCGGCCTTCCCTGCCCAGGCGGGAGCCGGCCGCGGAGAGGACGAGAGCAGGAAGCAGAAAGGAAAGAGAGAGAAGAACAAAGCATGAGAAACAAAACCGAGAGGAAAACAGCACCTTAGAGACAGAGTGTGCGGCTACTCAAGGTTGGGATAGATACCCACAATACAGAGCCAGAGGCTCCCCAGTTGGAGATAACATGGAGTAGAGAGTAGATTGTTGGACAGAGAATCTCCATAAGGTGGCAAATGCACTTGGCACTTCTTTCTGGCCATGGAGACCAGGGCTAAAGTCAACCAGCCATGGTGCCACTTTTCAGTAGGAAAGAGGCGCTTGCGTTATTCGTGAGGAATCCCATCACCAGTGGACACTTGAGAATCAGCTCCAGAAAAGATTGTCAGTCTAATGCAGGACGTCTCAGACCTCTCTCTAGTGTGGATTGCATCTTAACAGAGAGGCATCCCTCGGGGGCAGTTCCCCTCCCATTGGTGATGGCCTCTCCTCTGGGAGTTGTGACTGTGCAGGGGGTGAAGGTTAGCAGAGAAGACAAGATGAAAGTGAAGGCAGGTGAACAGGGGCTGAAGGTTGGTGTGGAAAGCAAGAAAGACTGGGTAACATGGGAAGGATGGGCATTAAACTAGGATTGCTATGGCTATGGGAGGTGCCCTGGTTCTGAAAGAGAGGAGTAACGGTGTGCGGCGGAGAGTGATCCTTGGTGGTTTGATAGCTGGGGCTTGTTGATGACCAAAGCTCAGCTGGTCTGTGGATAAAGGCAAGTTGGTATTTTACTGTTGCACTGGCAACCACTGCACAACTTGCCAAAATGCATCCTGGCCAACTCCAGAAAATCTCCCAGTGACTTCAGGAGGAGTTTCACCTGGATTTGGACCTCCTTCCAAAGCATCACGTATTGGCTGAAGCAGAGGGAGGATATCACGCTAGACAGCCCAATGTTCTGATCCAGGATGGTAAAGCCTGTGGTCATATGGTTTCCGAAGCACATTCATTTCAGGTGATAGCTTTCCGTAAAATTACCCCATCCTGGGATGATATTTCTCTCTCTCACTTCTCAGCCCAAAGGAGAAAATTTATTTAATGAAAAGTTCGGGAAAATTCCCCTTGTCTGTATTTGAAATTATCCTCATCAGGGCCAGCTCCAGGCACCATCTTGGCAAGCAGGTGCTTGGGGCGGCCACTCCGGAGAGGGGCAGCAGGTCCAGCTATTCGGCGGACGGTCCCTCACTCCCGCTCCGAATGAAGGACCTTCCGCCGAATTGCCACTGCAGATCGCGATCGCGTTTTTTTTTTTGGGCTGCTTAGGGCGGCCAAAACCCTGGAGCCGGCCCTGATCCTCATCTAACTGTAATCTAATCTAATCTATTTGAGGCAGGTGTGTATTGGAGAGATGGTAGTGAGGAATGAGTCCTGATGACTGCTCTGCATTGGGGAGCTGCCATTGGGGACAGTGGTAGGGTGGTTGGGTACAGGGATGTTGGTTCTAGCAGAGGAGGTCACAGAAATGTTGATTACTGAAGGCAGCCTGGCTTTACTGTAGCTGGGCGAGCTGGTGCTGGAGATGGATGGAGTTGGAATAAGCCGGCTATTGGGGAGCTGGTACTTGAGAATGATTATAGGAGGCTGTTGTCGAATCAGGGTGGGTATGGAGACTACCTATGATGCAAGCTGATCTGGGTGCTTGGCACAGAAATTGGCCTGGTAGCATGGGTAGGTTGGGTAAGAGGGTGGGGATACTGGAAGGTCTTAGTCGTATGCAGATTGCCATGGGAGGCAGTGAGTAGTAGGAGCTAGAATTGAAGGATAGTTCATACCAAACGGGGGAACCTCTGGGGAGCTGGTGTTAAAGGGCAGGTTTTCTGTGAGGGGAAAGGGCCTAGCTTAACAAATTAGGCCTAAGCCATCCCTGCTTTAGCTCTGCTGTGGTCAAAGGCATTTCCCAGGGCTGGATTGATCTGTTGTTTCCCCAGCTCAAGCCGCCTGGGCTAAGTAAATAGAAAGGTTCTCCGCAGAGTATTGCTGGTCGCTCAGAAGCATGGACCTTCGGAATGAGTGTCAGCTCCAATTTAAACCTCACCCCTGCTGGGAGCACAAGGGCTTTTCAATTCTGAGTGAGCAAGACTTTCTGACCTTTGTCGCTGGGCAGCGGTTCTGCGGGCCCCAGGCTCTTATGTGTTGTGGAGACAACAAATAGCCTCATGACCCCGGGTCAAGAGCAGTGCCTTTGCCACTGAAGTGTGATGCAGCCGCTCCGACACATACGTGCCACTACTTATTACGGCTGACGAGAGCGTCTTGCAGATGCTTTCGCATCTCTGAACTCACTGCTCTCGGCTGGCTTAAAAAGGTACCGGGGCGCTCTGGGCAGGGGCGCTGTGTAATTGGATTTGAAGCTGCTGCGTGGCTTGTGTCTGAGATCAGATGATCATTGTGCGAGGCAGGAAAGGCCGGGCATGGGAGCAGGAGAGGTCAGGACAAATAGCACGACACTCGGGAAGGAGCCAGAGTAGAAACAGTCTCCTCTTGCTCCTTGCAATTCTAAATGCATCTGTGTTACAGATCACGAGAGATGGTTCGCTATTCGTCGGCGAGGGAGCATTGTGCTGCGATTAAGGCACGGAGTAGGAGTCAGGCCATCTGAAGTCCCAGGGTGGCCTTGGGCAAGTGGCTAAGGCCTAGATCCCCATAGGTATTTAGGTGCCTAACTCCCACTGCAACCCATGAGAGTTAGGCACCTAAACACCTTTGAGGATCTGGGCCTCAGCTTCTGGGCACCTCAGTTTCCTATTCAAAAGGGGGCTCATCATACATTTCTGTCTCACACTGCAGCTGGGAGCACGATCTCATTCAGGTACAATGACCCAAACTAGGCGCCCTACACACCTGAATCCACCTTTAGGCCCCTCACTAAGCGGCCTGATTTTCAGACGTGCCGACCACCTGTAAATCCCACCGGTTTTCAAGAGGAGCCGGCACCTCTGAGAATCAGGCTGCTTCGGCGCCTAGTTTTAGGCACCCACTTTTGATGACATTGGCCTGCTTGAATAAGGCTGGGCTTTTCAGAAAACCTAAATATCCGAAAGCTGATCGCTTAATTCCCTTCGTTGGCGTTGACAACCCCGGCCCTTAATTTTCCCAGCAGCAAAGCGGGACAGAAAGGCGTTTTCATCCTGCTTCACAGAGCGGGACGTTGAGGCATGGAACAGTGCAGCCATGTGCCCAAGGTCATACTGGGCATGTCTACACTGGAGCTGTAGGTGTAAATGCCGGCTTGCGGAGACCTACCTGCACTAGCCTTAGCGTGCTAAAAATAGAGTGCAGCTGCGGTGGGAGCGACTAGCCACCCAAGTGTGTGCCTAGCATCTCGTATGGGCTCGTACTTGGGGCAGCTAGCTCCTCCCAACACTACACTTCCATTTTTAGTGCACTAGCTCGATCAGATCTAGCAAGGACATGTCCTCATCTCCTCAAGGACATCTTGAGGACATCTCCTCAAGCGGGAACTGCCACCTCTTGTTCCATACTCAGTGTGAGTCAGTAGCAGAGCTGGGGTTAGAACCCAGTCCGCCCAACTCCTTTGAACCCCTAGACGGTGCTCGCTCACTGACTGATGCCAAGGGTCTCCCATCTGATCAGTGGAGATCTGGTATCTGTAGAGCACTTTGAGAACGTGGGTTGGAAGATGCTAAGTGTATGGAGTTATTATTATTAATGTCCTGGGAGCACACCCTTCCTTGCTGCAATAGGTAGACAAGAGGGTCTATGCAGAACTTCCCCAAGGCTGGGACAATGTCCATTTGGTCCCCAGGGCAGTGTCAACTAGTTTGGACTGAAAGGAGCCCATTTAGAATATTTCCCTCACCAACTGCCCTCTGTCCCCTAGGTTCAGTCTGACACTATCTGCTGGGATCCAGGCCAGGCAGGACTCTTTAAAGGGAACATTTTGAAATTCTGCGGGAAGTTGAACTTCCAAACGAGGGAGGGACCATGGCCCAGGGATCACTGCTGTTACCCTGTGGTCCCAGTCCTACAAGGGGCTGAGGGAATGCACTAGGTGGCCTCAATTCCTCTCTCAAAGTCATTAGGCTCTGAGGGTGTTCAGCACGTGGCAGGACTGAGCCCCACATTGCTGGATTGTGCTCTAGCTCTACCACAAGTTATGGGCTGGGATGCTGGAATCACTGGGTGAGGTTCTCTGCCCTGTGCTATGCAGGAGATCAGATTAGATTATTAGAATGGGCTTAAAGTCTATCCAGCTATGCAAAGGATGGCACGCTGAGCTGCTGTGACTAGCCAGGGAGCCTGCACCAGCCAAAGCAATGAGGACTAGACAGAGTGAATAGGGTCTGTTGGAGCTGCTGCCATCAGAAGCATGGGTGGGTTTGCGTTGGCAGAGGCCTAGTGCCATCTGACTCCACTCCTAGGTAAAGTGCTTCTCGGAAGTCAGGACCAGCCAACAGCATGGCAGCAGCTGTGGAGCAGGGCCCTGCAAAGATGCTTGTCTGTTATGGGGGGATTAGGAAACACAGAGTGCAGAAAACAGTGGCAAAAAATACCCCTGGGCCCTGGTCCTTTGTCTCACTCCCTGAGTGTCACTGCTGTGTTTTGTTTCTTAACGGAACTAGAAAGGTTTCCTTAGGTGAATGGGAGGCAGCTCAGATGAGGGAGAGAACTGAGAAAGGTCATGCAGGGTGAGACAAAGGCCAGACAGTGGGAGGGGGAAGGAGAGGTCACATGGGGCCAGACCAAGTGGGAGGGGCTACAAATGGTTGGAGGGGATGAGACAGAGCTCAGACAGAGCTAGGGATGGTCTGGATGGGCTTCTTCTACTCAGAGGCTTCTTCTTCTTCTTCTTCTTCTATGTATTTTGCCGCCCCAAGCATGGCAGTCAGGCGGCTTTCGGCGGCATGCCTGCGGGAGGTCTACTGGTCCCATGCCTTTGGTGTACCCGCCGCCGAATTCCCGCCAAAACCGCGGGATTCGGCGGACCTCCCGCAGGCACACCACTGAAAGCCGCCTGACTGCCGCCCTCACGGCGACCAGCAGGCCGCCCCCCGCAGCTTGCCGCCCCAGGCACGCGCTTGGTGCGCTGGTGCCTGGAGCCGCCCCTCCTTCTACTGCATGATTTGTCTCTCAGAAATGCACTGCAATTGACAGGAGAAAGGACGAGAGAGAGAGAAATTGGTTCCAGACATACCTGAGAGAGGAAAGAAGAGGAGAGAGAATGCATAGGTGCTGGAACTAAGGGTGCTGCCGCACCCTCTGGCTTGACACGATTTCCATCATATACAGGGTTTAGAGCAGGGGTCTCAAACATGAGGGCTGCATGCGGCCCGCGGAGCTCTTCCCTGTGGCCCACAAAGCTCCCTGTGGCCCCCCCCGTTACTTCCTGTCGCCGCCAAACTCCCCTCACCCTCGCCCCCCCAAGTTATTTTATGTGTCAGCTAAGCTCCCCGTGCGCTGCTCCCCAATGTTTGGGGCCAGTTCTCTCCCCCGGGCCCCGCCTGCCGCCCCCACGCACCTCCCCCAGGTGTCCCCCGGCCTCACTTGCTGCCCCGTCACTGCCCCAGAGCCTGCAGCTCACGCTCTGCTCTGCCGGCTTCAACCATCACTTGCTGCCGCAGGGTCCTAGTGCCCCCCTACACTAGGGTCAGGGCAGGCTGCCCTTCCCCTGCCCTAGTCCTGAGCCTCTCCAGAGCCCCAAGCCTCTCCAATGCCCCAAACCCCTCATCCCAAGCCCCACAGCCCTCACCCCTGCACCCCCTCCTATCCCAAAACTCCATTCCAGAGCCTGCACCCCCACGCCCTGCCCCAGCCTGGAGCCTGCACCCAAACTCCATCCCAGAGTCTGCACCCCAGACCCCCTCCCCCATCCAAACTCCCTCCCAGAGCCTTAGGCAGGTGGGGGCGGAGTTTGCGGGGGGGGGCAGGTTCTGGGCACCACCAACTTTTCTACAAATCTGCCACCCCTGGAAGAGGCAGAGCAGGGGTTGAGTGGTGGTGCAGCCCAGTGCAGGGGGGGGGGGGTTTACTGAGTGTATATATATTATTAAAACCACTTGGAGGAGCAGGTGGAGAAGAGATGGGGCAGGGACGGGGCCTCATGGAAGGGGTGGAGTGGGAACAAGGCCAGGGGCAGCGAGGGGGGGTGTCAGTGTCAGTGATGCGGCCCTCAGGCCAATGCACTAGTCCTCATGTGGCCCTCGCGGTCATTTGAGTTTGAGACCCCTGGTTTAGAGTTTGGTTCAATGGCTCTCAGCAACCCCGCTATACAAATTGTTCCAGCCCTCCTGAGAGAGAGTGAGGATCCTCCAGACCAAAATGGAGGGAGAGAGAAAGAGAAAGACCTTGACCAGATACCAAGTAGGACATGCACTCATCTCTGCATCTAGAGACAGGGAATGCAGACTAGCCCGGTGTGGAATGTAGATTTTATCAGTGAGTCTGGGATGGCTGCATTGCACATGGTGAGACAGGCACATCGTCCCAACCAAGTTCCAGCTGAGCCTTTGTGTCTCCTACAGATACTGGACATTTTAGGAAAGTTTTAGATATTTTTAAAATTGTTTTATTGGGACTATATTTTGTATTCCTTCGCCTGCAAAGGTGAGTGCTTTAGCTGTCATGAGCCTGACTGTTCAGGGCTCAGAGAGAGCCACAAAAGAACCCAAACTAGCACTCATGTACCTGAACATGCCACAGATTTAAAGTCTGTTATTCTGGGCCCTTCGAGGGCCAGAAGTGTTGGATCCCATTGGGAAGCAGTTGGAGATCGCCCCTTCCTGAACCTGGATCACATCTTCCTAGAGATTTACCAAGCTTCCATTCTCTCCCATTCCTGATCACACCAACCAGCTTCCCTCATGGGCAATTCATCCCCATGTCAACCACAGCAACTGCTTGCATGGAAAAGAAATACTAGGCAGATATTTCTGTGCTCTGCATATCTACAGAATAGCCCACTCAGCTCCAGCCTACTGGCTATGCGGGGGGGCACTGGCATGTCTGCCTTGCTATTTAAAGGCTCGGCTCCCTCTCTAGAAGAGCAAGCGTTTTCACCCACTTGAGATCCCAGGATGCTTTGCGCAGATGACGCAGCCTCCTTAGTGTAGCCTTCTGTGGGTCTCCAGAGGTTAATAAATGCATGTGCATTAAAATGCGGAGGAGCGGGAGTTTGATGGTAAACAAGATGAAAAACAAAGTTAATGGTTTTTTGGAAGTAATGGAACTAAATGGCTGTGCTCCTCGAAGGGCAAAAGCAATAGAGCTGCTCAGCTCGTTCTCTTTCTGTGGGTACTTTTTTCAACCAATTAAGGCTGGAATAAGCAAATGAAGCTGTGCAAACAGAGAGGTCTATAATCCTCTGGAGGGCTAATGAGATTCATCTATAAATCAGGAAGCAGGCAAATGGTGCCTGCTATGAAAATCTTTAAGGCCAAGGCCAGGAGGCAAAAGGCCCTTGGTGCTGAGCAGGGTGTGAACAGCCACGGAATTGGCTGAATTAATAGCAAATTAACCCCAAGGATGCTGATCACCATCATTGGCGTAGTGAGTTTGCATCTTCCATCCAAGGATCTGAAAGAGCTTTACCTATGAATTTACCTATGAATTAAACCTGACGCGCTGTGCTCTCCATTAGGCAGGATGGATTCCCTGCCGTGAGTCAGAGCCTCAACTGGCGTCAGTCAATGTGGTTCCTTATCCATCTAAGTAGTTACCTGGCATCTGAGCACTGCCCACTCACTAATGGGTTTTAGTCTCAGAACACTGCTCTGAGGTCAGGAAGCATTATCCCATTTCACAGATGGGGAACTGAGGCACAGGGCAGAGTAAGTGAACAGCCCAGGTCTCTTGAAGCCCAGTCCAGAGTTCTAACCACCAGACCATCCTTAAAAATAAAAAATAAAAATAAATTAATGGAGATATCCTATCTCCTAGAACTGGAAGGGACCTTGAAAGGTCATTGAGTCTAGCCCCCTACCTTCACTAGCAGGACCAAGTACTGATTTTGCCCCAGATCCCTAAGTGGCCCCCTCAAGGATTGAACTCACAACCCTAGGCTTAGCAGGCCAATGCTCAAACCTCTGAGCTATCCTTCCTACCGACCACTGAGTCAAGGGAGCAATGCTAACTTACATCAACTGGGGATCTGGCCCATTCACTCCAATGGCATTACATCAGTTTACGCCAGCCGAAGATCTGGCCCAACGTGTAATACACTCTATGGGAGTTACAACGTGGTTCCCATTGAATATGGGTCCCGCTGGCTAAAGAGTGAATGGAAGAGCAGGGCGCCTTGGGAGAGTATTGGCAGGGGAGGGGCATATGCTCAGAAGATAAGTGAGATTTTCATAAGCAGAGATATAGTGACAGCGAGGGACTCGGCTTAGTCCATGGCATTGGGAATGTAAAAGCCGTCACTGACAGGAGACGCATTTACAACTGATGAGAGATCACACGCCTCCAGCTGCTCTGATACAGCTGCATTTAGGGATCACGGCCGTGAAGGATCTGCGGACTAACGCTCCCAAGGATAAGCACAGACAATCGCCTCCTTCTTGGTGGGAATGTCAGTTTCCAAGCAGTACAAAGAGAATCCACCCCATGGTGGGAAGAGAATTCCTGTCCCTGAGCTGACAGGCTCTCTCCTCTCCCGAAGGCAAGACCATGTACTGTCTGCAGCTACACCTAGGGATGGATCCAGGACCACACGGGCACTTTCTCCCAGGTCTGATCCAGGATTTTGGTTCAGCCCATTCTATAGACAGTGAGCAGCTGTGGAGTGAGGAGCCAGACCTGCAGTTCCCCAAGAGTTTGTGGGGTTTTGGAACCAGGATTCAGCAGCTCTGCTAAGACGGTCTCAATGGACCTGTTCTCCTGCTTTGGGAGAAGGAAGTGGATGGGACTTACTGGTTCCCTGAGGCAGGAGGGCTGGGCCCCAAAAGTTCCTCTCCAGCCAAATTCACAGGATGCTTTAGTCTGAGATTTTACTGGATATGTGGGGCAAAGCGACTGGATTTGATGGGAGCAGAGAGGGAGGGAGGGAGATAACCTTTCCCCAGACACATTTGGAGGGAGAGGAAGGAGAGAGAGACCCCCCTCTTCCTCCGTGTCTCATGGATTGGGGACAGAGATCCATGCAGGGTAACAGCTGCCTCTGCCACGTGCAAATAAGGATCAGAGTAGTGAGAGAGCTGGTGGCGCTGCCCACGAGAGAGAAAAATTCAGTGGCTGACATGGCATTGGGTGCCTGCCACTGGCTAGCAAAGAAGGAGCAAGTGAAACAAACGAGAGAGAGAGAGAGAGAAGAGAAAGAGAACTTACAGGAAGGACTTCACGTCCAAGCCTCGGTTGCGAATCTGCCCCACCACGTGGTCCCAGCTCCCGGGGTTGGAGCGGCTCCGGCCGCCAGCCGTCCGGTGCTTGGAGCCAGCCGAGACCCCTTGCCGTGACTGGCCACTCCGGCCCCGGGGGTTGCCGCCGCTGGAAGAGGAGCTGGTGTGAGACTGTAGGTGCCCCAGGCTCTGGCTGGTGGTGGGCTGGCTGTGGTTGCTTTTCTGGTGCTGGCTAAGCGGCTGCTGGAGGCTCTGCTGGCGCATCAGCGTGCGGGGACGCTGGCATTTCGGGTCTCCTGCTGAGGTGGGGATATACTCAAGGGTAGTGGCTGTGGACATGGTGGAGTCCTCGAAACTTAGGGAGAGGGAGGGCAAAGGAGAGGAAAGAAAGGAGAAGAAGGTGAAGGGGCAAAATTGGAGGAAGCAAAAGAAGAGAGTTAGAGAGAAGATGCCCCAGCGTGGCGCGCTCTCTGCCGGGGGCCTTCGGAACCAGCAAGCCGCCCCTCTAGGTTTTGGCCCTGTCTCTTCCTTCCCAGAGGCGCAAGCTCTCTGCCCCATGGCCATCTCGTCTGCCCGTCCGCCCCACTCCATGTCTCCCAGACTCTGTCCGATCCTTGAGGGCTTGGTGTGTCCGTGAGCCGACGTTGGGGATACTGCTGTCCCCGTTCCTTTCCCACTCGGCTCGCGGGAAGCCTGTGCCTTCTCAGCACGCTGGCTGACCTCCTTTCTGAGCTAATTAGGCTGCTGCGTGAAGGCGAACCCCCCAGTGTCTGCACTGCTTCCCGTCATGTGGGAAACGCCCCTTTCCTCATTGGCTGCAGCTGGACAGCCACTCAGTCCCTGAAAGGGACTGTGAGGTTGGGGGCTCTCCAAAGTCCCGGGACCGGGCTCCTCAGCAAAATTCAGGCCAAGCTGTTGTGAAAAAGGCGCATTCCCAGCCACTCAGGTTCTGAGGTCAAGCACCACAGAAGCCCCTCAAGTGTACTGTGCACATTCCCTGGGGCACAGCGGCAACGTCAGGCCTGGCGCATGCATAGGGCAATGACTTCCCAGTATTCTCTCTCCTGACTGGCTGCCCCTTCCTCTGCCCCCACCACAAACATGCTGGTGATGGTTCAGTGCCAATAGGGAGGCAGCCCAAAGCCCAGCCATGAGGTGAAAGCCCCTGGACTCAAGCTTTCCTTTGCCCTGCAGAGAGGGGAAAGATGCCTGCTTGTCTCTTGCATCTGTGTTTTTTAGCTTTCAAGATGGGTCTGCATTTAAGGGCCAGATGCTCAGCCGGGGTAAATCAGAGCTGCATCACTGACTCCAAAGGGACAACGGCCAGGTCACGATCTGTCCTTTGCAATGTTTGAACCCTGGTGGAACAGCTGAAAAATACAGCCAGCTGCCCACGTGGGGACAGGGGCTCATCTGGGCATGAGATACGGAGCTCATGGGCTGACCCAGGACAGAGCACGTGGCAAGACAATGCAGTGGTACAACTAGCTAACCATGCAGCCAGACCCATGGGTGATCACATGGCTAAGCATGCAGCCAGGCACATGGTAAAGCACCCAGATAAACACACAGCCAGATACATGGCAGAGCACCCAGATAAACACACAGCCAGATACATGGTAAAGCACCAGATAAACACACAGCCAGGCACATGGTAGAGCACCCAGATAAACACAGAGCCAGATACATGGCAGAGCACCCAGATAAACACACAGCCAGATACATGGTAAAGCACCAGATAAACACACAGCCAGGCACATGGTAGAGCACTCAGATAAACACAGAGCCAGATACATGGCAGAGCACCCAGATAAACACAGAGCCAGATACATGGCAGAACACTCAGATAAACACACAGCCAGATACATGGTAGAGCACAGCCAGACAAAACTGAGCATGCAAAGTAGCACGTAGCTGGGCACACGATGGAACACATGGCAAGCGCCCCAACTGGGAATGCAACGGAGCACCTGGCTGAAGACATGATGGAGCCCACAGCTGAGCACACACTTCCTGGATATTTGACAAAGCCTGTTGCTGAGCACACAGCTGTCACATGAGAGCATGCACCTGAGCACATGGCTGGGCGCAAGGCAGAGCACATGGCTGTGCACACATACAGAGCACCCAGTTAGACACTCAGCTGGACAGTCAATGAAGCAGGTAGCTAAACATGTGGTTGAACAGAGGAGCATGTGGCCAGGACCCAACTAACCTCTTTGTCCCCCAGCTCTGCTGCTGCCATGAGGACATGCCTTCGTCTGAGACGTCCCTGTAGCAGCCGGCTGGGCTGAGGCCAGGGTATTCACCATCCACCCTGATGGTCATTTCAAACCTAAGACCCTGCATGGTTCCCAAGGGTACAAAGGAAGAACAGCCCAGCCACGGTGGCAGCAGATGCCACCTCCGTGGCACATACCAGCCGGGCCCTGGGGGAATCGCTTTCACCGTGGCAGCAGCAGGAAAACCTTGTCTACTTTCCATGTGGGTTTGGGCTGTAATTATGGCTGAAACACAATGGTGAAGCTGTGCCTTCGTGCATCACGCAGAGAGCAGAAAGGAGAGAGGGAGAGAAAAAAGAAAGATCGAGAAAGAGAGAGATCAAGAAAGAGTAAAGGGAAAGAGAAAAAGTAAAGTCCTGAATAAGCAGAGAGTCCACCTCAAAGCCCCAGGTGCCCTGGAGAGGTGTCACCCAGCTGGCATTGCCTCTGGCTTGGCGTATATTTTTGGGTTCCTTGGCAAACATGATTCGGAAGGAGCAACGCCATCTGGGTGACGAGTCCCCAAGGGCGGCCCCTGTGCTGCCTGCTATGAAGCAGAGATGGGCCTTTCCCAGCCGCTGCCTTCGCTTCCATACTCGGCAACCTCATTTCAGTTTTCTATCAAATCCTAAATTAGTCCAATTTACAACCTCTCAGTCACAGGAAACTAAAATTGGCTGCTCTAGGCCCCGAGCCAGCGGAATATATAAATTTCTATCAGCAGTAACTGACGCATGGGAGCCGCTTCTGATGCAGAGGGGACTGTATGAACCTGGCATCAAGCACACCTGGCACTCTGGCATCTGCTAGTACCTACTCCCACCCCCGGGATACTGCTATTCCTATGGCACAAGTGAGTGCAGGTCGACCTCCTCCAGACACACAATGCAATGGAGAGCCCCATCATAGGTGTCAGCTACAGGAGTGGCTGTGTTACTCCCCAACAAAAGGAACTTCATTAAAATACAACCAGGTCTGTAAAGCAGATCAATTCCCTCTGCTAGAAACCTTCTTAAAACAGGGGCCATTGTATTTAAAAAAGCAGTAAAGACAAAGCCAAGGGGAAATTCATGACAATGCAAAGGCATTACAGTCTAGAAATTCAAAGCTAAATTTTCTCAAACACCCTAACTCTGCCCCATTTCCCACTCTTAAATGCACTAACCACATGTCATAGACTGGTGCCTGTGCCAAGTGCTTCAAGTCATTTTCAAAAGTTTGTCAAATCTAGCTAGCTAGCTAGTTACACCCTGCTATCTATCTATCTATCTATCTATCTATCTATCTATCTATCTATCTATCTATCTATCTATCTATCTATCTATCTATCTATCCTTATGCACACTCATCCATCCATCCCACCTTAGATGTATATATCCATCCTTCCATCTATCCATCACTACTCCCACCCCCATGGTATCTGAACACCTGAACGAGTCCTCTCTGGAACAGGTAATGTGTCTGGGGACCATATATAGAAAGTGTGATGTGAGTGTTGTCCTGTCTTGCTCCAGTGGGTATTTGTGGGTGGGAAGGAGAGATCTTTACTCTGTATCAAATGGGTAGGAGGCAGGTGCTCTGCCTGACACAGTCCAGGAGTGTGGATTTGAGGAGGGATTGTAGCTGGGTATGTTGTTTCAATGCAGCGATAATGCAGTTTGCATATCATAAGACAGAAAGGGGTCTCTATAGAAGAGGCATGTAGCTCATATAGGAAATGTATGGAAAGGGCCATTGGAAAAATGTCTCAGGGATACAGAAGGTTGTTCAGGGACAGAGTTAAGGTTATTTATGGAACCTTAACTCTGAATTTCCACAGTTTCTTTCTTTCTTTTCTTTTTTTGTAAATTGAATCTTAACTTACAATTTCCTGGCTTTCAAATTATTCTTTATAACAATAAGACTCTAACAAAATTTTAAATGACAAATTTGAATATGTTATTAAAACCTTACTGGCATCTTAACAAAGCATTTTGTCTGGGAATTTCCTTAGTTTTTTTTAAATGAATATATTTCGACACAATTATATGTGAAAACACACCATACATCTATATATGTTCTTCTACTTTGCTGTATTTCTAGTTAGGGTGCAGAATTATACATGATATTCAGTGAATTACAGCACAGCATAGTATCTGAGTTAAATACTGCACCATTGGAGTCTGTACCTTCCTGGATCTCAGGCAGTTTAACCAACAGAGATTAGAAATTTAGGGCCAGATCCTCAATCTGTTGCAAATCACTGTAGCTGCATGTAAATGAATAGAGCTATGCCAATTTACAGCAGCCCAGAATCTGGTCCAAAACCTTTAAGCCAAACTGAGTTACGAGTCTCCTAAAGAAATTCTGTTTTTTTCTAACTCTGATAAACCTCAAACTTTTCTCCAAGTTCCCCTCTGACATCAGACTAAGGGAGCAAAATGTTGGGGCCCAAAAATTTAGTTTATTGCAAAAGTTAGACCAAATCTGGACACAGAATGGACTCCAAGAAGTCACTACTGCCGTTAGCCCCCTCCATGGGGTGGGGCTAAGAATGGTCCTGCCCCCTAGGGTAGGAATGGGATGGCCCCAGAGTGGGGCAATCTACCAGCTGTTTCACAACACAAACCAATGACTCCATATTGGAGTGTTCACCCATTGGAGCAATTCACTAGTAAGTTACCAGAGCCTCCCCACCCCCACCCCCCCTCCGGCTTGGTACTAAGCATGGAAGGGGTAGAAAGCCAGCTGAGCAGCCTCCTACCTTGCTCACTCCCCCTACCCCCAGATACTTGCAGAAATGTAGGCATAACCCCTAGCCTGCCTGGTACCTCTAAGTCTCCCCCACTTCTAGCACTGATCCCCAGGAGACTGAGCATTGGGCAGGCGATCTCCCTTCCAGGCCCATGTAGCAGGCAGTATCCCCAGGATTAACTGACTCAAGCACATCCACGGGGCTGCTCGGGGGGTGCTGCCCCACTGCGGAGGGTGCAGCTCTGCCAGCTGGGGGAACCAGCCACCTAGCAACAGTGACATGGGAACGGCCCCTGGTATTTGGAAATCAAATTAATTAATTTTCACCCACCCACCCCCACTCACTAAGGCCTCTCCTCACGCTCCTCTCTCAGTCGCCATGGACAACCCCACCATCATTCCTGTTGCCTAGGTCTGTAATCTAGGCGTCATCTTTGCCTTGGCCCTTTCTGTAGGTCCTCACATCCAGGCTGGGTCTACACGTTCTCCTGCACACCACCTCTAAGATCCGGCCTTCCTTTTCCATCCATACCTCTAATAGTTTCATCCACGCCCACCCCGTCTTGACCAACCTCCTCCTCTCTGGCCTTGACAAAAGCAGTCCTGCCCCACTTATCTCCTGTTCAAAACACCATCACAAAGATCATTTTCCAGGCTTGTAGCTTTGACATTCTCACCCCTCTCCTTCCACCGCTCTGCTGGCTCCTCCTCCACCACATCAAACACAAATGACTTCTCACTTTCAAGGTCCTCTCCAGCCTAGCCCCATCCTACCCAATGTCTCTTCAATGCCGCCAAGACGTCGGCTCCCCTTCTGCTTTGCCAGGGCCTCCATCATCCACTTGTTAAATGTTCAGACAGGCCCCTTCATGCTCTCTCCCTCACGCACAGCAGAAGCTCCCCATGGACATCCACAAAGACACCTCGGTGTCCTCCTTCAAACTCTCCTGTCTAGACCCACCTGTGGTCTCTAGCCTTCTACTTTGATTGTAAGCTCTTTGGGGCAGAGACTGTCTTTTCCTGCTTGCACAGTGCCTAGCATAATCACAGAAATAGAGGGCTGGAAAGGACCTCAGGACGTCATCCAGTCCATCCCCCTTACCTAAGGCAGGACCAAGTGTACCTAGACGAGTGCTGACAGGTGGCTGTCAAACCTGTTTTCCAATGACAGGGATTCCACACTGGGGCCCTGGGTTCTGACTGGGGGCCCCCAGATGCTACCGCAATGGAGATAATGACAATACTTTGCCAAGGATCAAGGGGATTCTCATCACACACGGGGTTAAATTCCCATCAGGTGGCGACGTGTTTCCTGCCATCTCAGACATTCCAGACTGCCCTGTCCGATCCCACTGGGGTGGGGTAATCCCCTCACACGATCCCACATTCTCCTGGACCCCCTGCCTGACCCCAGTGGGGCGGATAAGCCACTCAAACAGCAGGATAGTCACCCAACCCCGTGCTCTGCTGGACCCCATGCTGCAGTGCCTCGTGGGGCCGGGCTGGGCCTGTGAAGCACTCTCACTCACTTGGATAGGCTGAGCTTCCCTGCTGCTAGGTGGCTCTGCACCGCGTGCCATCGGCCTCTCCCCGCCTTCCCATTGCTGGGCTCGCTGTGGGCAGACAGGCTGCTCTTCATGCCGTCCTCTCGTAGCTGCTGCTTCTCCCCCAGGCGTCCTTCTCGCTCCCCCGCCAACCCCGAAGCGGAAGAGGCGGCCAACTTAGCGCCCGACAGCAGAGAGCCACTGGGGTGGGCCAGATCCACCAGGATGGGCGCGAGGGGGGGTGGCGGGGAGGAGGCCACACGTGGGGGGAGAAAGAGAGAGAGAGAGAAAGAGAGGGACAGACAGACAAGAGACAGACAGACAGAGAGAGAAAGAGAGACATCAGCACTGCAAAAGAAAGGGCTGGGGGGGAGCCTTCGGCAACAGGGAGAGGAGAGAAAAAACAACAGGCGGCCCCGGCTCGGTGGTGTGTGATGGCAGCAAAGTTACGTTATCCCATAGACAACGAGGGGTTAAACAATGGAGAAAACTGTTAGGAGAGGCACCAGTACAGGCAGAGGGAAAGAAAAGCCATGTTAGTGAGAGCTTACCAGCACCAGAGTCACCACCACACAGTGCAAATGCAGAGTACACGCTGAGGGGGGACCCAAACGCGCAACCCCATCCTGTGCTGCAGAGAAGGGGGTCACGGGGGCGGGGAAGGGAGAGCAGAGGGGACCTGGGGCAGCGGGAGGGGGGTGCTAGCCTCTCTCAGTGAGTCACTTAGGGCAGTGGTTCCCAATCCATTGGGGCAGCTGTTCCAGTCTAGCAGGTGAAGGGCCTGAGCCAAACCTTGGCCAAGTCAATGGCAAGCTTCTCATTGGCTGGCGTGAGCTTTGGATCAGGTCCCGAGGCCACAGCTGTGCCAGCCAGTGCCCACCACTGCTTCCCATTCGGTGGGCTGTGCTCTATCCCACCCTGGAGCTTGGACCCAGCCTCGAAAGGGGGCAGCCTGATGCAGCGGTGCCTTATGAAGAGCCACTGAAGTCCCTGGCAACGCTCTCTCTGACTTGGATTTGAGCCTAAGGGAGCGAGGGGCTGAGCCCAGGGAACTGGCCTGGCGTACCAGTACTGGCGCCCGTGCCACTGGTTGGGAACCACTGAGATAAGGGGGGAGGGGGAAGGGCAGGAGGGGTTGCTCGTCTCCATGGCTGTCTGCCCATGGGGGTGGAGTGTGTCAGGAGAAGAGGTGGAGCAAAGAGGAAGAGGAGGAGGGTGAAGGGGAGGAGAGGGTGGGTGGGTGGGTGGTGGGTTGCGCATATACTCACTACACATGATCAAACCAGGTAACGAGAGACTCACTTGAGGGAAAGTCGTGGATCACCGTATGGGGCGTAAGGTGAAATGTTTAGTATAAACTCCTTGGGAGGGTAGGAGCTCCATTTCTGCTGCACTGTGTTGTCATTGTTATTCCAAAAGTCTCTGTCTAGATCACTACATCGGCCGGAGAAGAGGGGAGAAAGAAAAGGGAAATACAAGAGAGAGAATCTGAATTCCTGCAAGGGGAGGAAGGAGAAAAAAAATCAACCCCCTCCCCACCAAAACCAGAAAGAAGCCAGGTTAGAAAGGAGAGCAGCTCCGTCTCCTCCTGCGAAAGAAAAGCCACAGCTGTAGCAGCATTGGCCTGCCACACACATACACACCCACGCACACACGGAGGGAGGATGGACTGGGGACAAACGGAGGAAGAGCATCAGAAAGACAGGAGCAGGTGCCTCCAGAAGCTGGTAGGAGAGAGAGAGAGATGGAGCGCAGGTTAAAGGAGAGTCCGCTGGACACGGCAATCTGGTAATGTCTCGCCAGGCTCCCTGCTCTGTTCCTGGGAACAGCTTCAAGGCAGTTCTCGCCACATCCCAAGTACCCTGCCCCCCGGATGATGGCAGAACTGATGGCTCCAGGCATTCAGAAATCAGGAGGTACGCCCCCAAAAACATGAGATTGGCCTAAAAATGAGGCGGTTTGGGAGTATTAGGGAGTCACACTCTCAAGCTTTCTTGGCAACCATTACTGGGCTGGGAACGCACTGTAGGTGTTACCACAGAAGCTGAGATTCTCACAGACTCACGAGCCCAAGAGCTGGGGTCATCAGGAAAACACCCAGTTGCTCGAGACTCACAATATTATCGCTAGAGCTGGCAATGGGGCAGTACAAAACGTAGCCCCTTCAGCATTGGGACAGCGACAGAATCCACAACAGTCTTGAGGAACGACTGACATCTTCCAAGACACTGGAGGTCAGCATGCTGTGGGGAATGTCATCTTCAGACAAGGGGGAAATGAGCTGGCAGGACTCAACACCCAGTTCCCAAAGCATGGGAAGACGTGGGATTTGGGGAATGGAAAGATTCTAAGAACATTTGATAAAGTTGGGAGTCCATCAGGATCTCCCCAGATTGGCCTCTGAGGGACACTGGGCCAGGACTATAGTCAGACTTGCTCAGCCATCACTTTGAGATTTGCTAAAAAACCCAGCTGGAGAGAGGAGAGGGACCCAGGGAGCAACTCAAGAGACACACAGGACTAGTATTTGAAACTAGACACTAAAAACCTGAGAGGGATGGAAGATGAATCCAGCAGGGGGTTCTTATTCCCTGTCTGTCTTCTACCTAGATAGGCATTGTCCATCACCAGGACTCATCTTAATACAGCAGAGGTGGAGAACCAGAGCTAATAGCACCCTGCCCCAGATGTGGGGCCCCTCTCTAATCCAGAGCTACTGACACCTGCTCCAGATGTGCAGCCAGGATCCAGAGCTACCGACATCCTGCTCCAGTTGTGCAACTCCTCTCTGAAGGATCCAGGACAAATGAAACCCTGCTCCAGATGTGAGACCTCTCCCTGCAGGATCCACAACTGACACCCTGCTCCAGATGTGTAATCTCTCCCTACAGGATCCAGAACTAATGACACTCTGCTCCAGATGTGAGACCCTCCTCTCCTAGAAAACCTGTACCAAGGGTAACCCTCTTGTCCCATCCTGCGGGACAAGGTCAGTCCCCACTTGGCGGTGCAGCGGGAGCCAGGGAGCGTGATTCAGCAGGGCGTGCACTGCGTCTGCCTGGCTGTACATCTCCTCAGACTCTAAATAGGTCACTTCATGCCATGGACAGATCCTGAGACAAGCCGTATCTACCCATCGCCTCCTGACTTCAGAGAGCCGCCAATGGCTTCCTGGTGCTCGACCTGGAGTACGTGGGATCCGACAAGCAGCACCTTTGAAGTCAAGTGGTACTGCGGCAAATTCATCAGAGACTTCAAAGGTCCCCAGCAGGCTGCATGCCTGCACTCAGCCCCGGCTCCCCTCATTAATTCCTCCAGTCCTCCTGCGGTTCTGGCATGAAACGGCCTCTCCAAACACACAGAGCGAGATG